TTCTTCTCGCGCACATACGATTTTGATGAAATCAATTTCGCAAATATTTAATTGATTTTTACAATTATTTTAATTTTTAATAAACAATAAATAAAAATAAAATAACAAATAAATTAATCTCGATGAACTATTATATTTAATGGGAAACATTGAATTCCAATTGATGTCACACCTGATGGTATTGTAACATTAGTCAAATTAATACATTCTTTGAAACAACAATCACCAATTGATTTCATACTTGATGGTATTGTAATACCAGTTAGACTAACACATTTAAAGAAACATTGATCACCAATCAATGTAACACTCGATGGTATAAAAACATTGTGTAAACTATTGCATTCATAGAAATAACCATCACCAATTGATATAACACTCAATGATAATGTAACGTTATTTAAACTATTGCATTGACGGAAACAACCATCACCAATCGATGTAACACTTGATGGTATGGTAACGTTGTTTAGACTTCTGCATCCATAAAAACAGAATTCACCAATTGATATCACACTTGGTGGTATCATAACACTGCTAAGATCAATGCATCCACCAAAACACCATCACCGATTGATGTCACACTAGATGGTATATTATTACCAAATTTCTTTCTATCATTTTGCGTGTAAGTAACGTTTTTAAACTCGATGTTTTGACTTTTGTTATTTTCAACAGTTTCAAAGTCAACATTGAACCACACAATGATTCGATAAAATTCTTTCTTCAAAACACCTTTATTTTCTCTGTTTTCTTTTGTGTTGATCATAAATCCATTGCCAAAGGTCTCATCTTCTTTACTCCACAAGTGAAGTGTCTCTATATTTGGAAAGTATCCAAACGTTTTGTAATTCAAAGAAATTGGGTTGAAATGAAACTTTCCCATATTACCTTGGAACTTCTTGCATACCAACTCCAAGTTAATAAAATCTATGATGTCTTCGAAGTACTTTGAGACAATCATAATGTGATAACCAAAAAGTCTACACATTGTTAAATTTTTAGTTTGTCGTTGTTTAAAATTTATAAATTCTTTTTGTAAACAATTTTAAGTAATATTTTATATACAAACTATTGATTGTTTTAAGTTACAAGTAAATATTGTAAAAAAATACTATTTTCAAATAGTAATTTAATAAATTAAATTGTAATACAATTATTTTAATTTAATAAAAACAATTACAAAAACATTACAAAGAATGATTTTATAAAATATTAATTGTTTTAATTAAGATTATGATAAAATTATGTTAAATATTAAATAATTATTAAAATTTAATTAAAACCACAACAAATTTGTTTTATTGTTAAATAAAAATACTTATTTTGCCATTGTTTTGAAACCTGGTTCTGATATAACTGTTATTATTGAAAATTAAGCGTAAAAGATAACAATTTAAACTTACAGTGCAAGGTCCTTGCACTTGATATGGGTGCACTGATTGCTGATGGCAGTAC